TCCTATAAATATAGAAATCATATAAAAAATAATTTGAAATTATTTAAAAAATTATTTTAGAAAGTTTCCAAATGAGTTTTTCTGTTGTTGATTGAAACCCTATATTAGTTTATTATTTTTAGATTTATTTTGAAAATTTCTTGAAACTTTATTAGAAAAATTTATCAAATATTATTACTTATTTATAATATAATATAATATATATTAATATTTTGTATGAGCAATAGATTATTAATAATATTATTATCAAATTTTGTCAACCATCTATAATCTTTAAACTAATCAATTATACTTATTATTTTAACTATTATTTCAATACTAAAAATATAAAAGTATATAATCTTTTTTATTTATAACTAATAATATATTTTTTATTTTACAGCTCATATCACTGATCAAATCGTTGAAAAAATTATTAAAATCCAAAATTAATATTGTTTGTAATAATAACAATAAAATAAAAAATTGCATTTTTAAAATTTTAATTGAGAACCTTAATTAATTATTTTTAATTGATATATTTTTATAAGAATAATTGTAAAATATATAGTATATGTTATGATTTAATTTATGATAAATTTTTTTATATAGTAGAAGTATTAAATTTTTTATTTTTTGATTAATACTATAATAAAAAATATATTTGATATTATATTTAATAAGATTAACTTAGAAAATGTTTAGTTGAAAATGATTAAGATTTTATATTTATTAATAATATCATTGAAAAATTAATATTTATTTTTTCAATAATACTTTAATAAAATTACTTATATATATTAAACAATAAAACTTTTTTTTTTGAAAAAAATAATTCTATTTTAATAAATAATATAATATTAAATATAATACATTAAACATATACTGTTAATATAATGATTATAAAAAATACAATATATAAATGATAAATACTGAATATAAGCACAAAATCATTTATTCAAAATCATTTACAAACAAACAAAAAATTAATACAGTTTATTATACGATTGCTTTTATACTATCTATTATATGATAAAACAATCGTATAATAAAATGTATTAATTTTTTGTTTGTTTGTAAATGATTTTGTGCTTATAATTGATATAAATCAATAATAATATAATTATAAGTATTAATATAATTATGTAACAAATAATAATATTATATGCCTTTTAAGTAATCTTCTAACAATAAATTATTTAATTGAGATTTTATTGTATAAATTTATATCAATATATATGATAAAGTAAATCTGCAGATGTTTATACAGTAAATTTATGTATTAAAGTTATATACAGTATATACAAAATTTAATTCTGTATAATATTTACTTTACATTCAATTATATAATAGAAATTACAAAAGTAACAAAAACATATTAAACTTTATAAATTTTCATTATATTCAAATGTTTTTGAATTTTAAAATTTGTTTGTTTTATTTTAAAAAAACAAATTATAAAATATAAGTAATGATGTATACAAATTACATCTACTAATTTCTATTATATTACACAAAATACATTATAAATTTATACATTTATATTAAAATTTTTTATAGCTCTATAAATAATACAACTATAGCTATAATTTGGGTAATTTTAGTTAACTTACAAATGTTTTATTAAATAAATGCAAAAATGGTTTGTTTTGTAAAAATTATTTCATATTTTTCCAGACACTTGACAACTATTGTATAACACATGTACTTTATATAGTGGTAACTAATAATAAAAATCATTTAAATATTATCATTATAGTTTGCTAACCAATTTTATTAGTTTACTCATTAAATTCGATGCCAATTTTTTAATTATATAAAATCTGTCTAATCTATTATATAATGTTTAATACAATAGCTTAACAACAATAAAACATTTAATAGATTAAATTTATCATTATTATATAATAATTATTACATAATTATGTAGATTTAATTTTAACTTAAATATTACGCAACTTAGTGTTTGTACTATAGATTTATATTATATAAATTTTAATATAAATCAAAAAATATTTTCTTAAGTTTTATAATAACAAACATTATATACAAACAATTATGTTTTTTAGTAAACAAAATATATAAATTTTATTTAAAAAAAATATATTATTATTATTACAAAGACTAAAAAATCAGCAAAATTATCAGTAAATAAAGTTAATAATATAATATATATAATTTTATTGATATATATATATATATATATATAAATGCATTTATAAGACTTTATTATAACTGTATGTTATGTTTGTTGCAAACATGATTTTCAAAATGTTATTTTGATTATCAAATATTTTAGTGTAAAACAATTTATAATACATTATATCGATATACAGTAGACATTGTTTAAAAAAAACTCTTCATAATTATTAAAAATAATAATTCATATTAATTGATTAAATTTCTAAAGTTTTTTTTGACATAAAATAAATAATATAAGTGTATACAGAATATTAAATTATATATAAATAAAATTATCTAATTAATGGTTGGATAAAATATTTATTGATTGTTAGTTTAGAAAATCTGCGCAAACCTTAAATAATCAATTAATACTAATATAAGTTGAATAAAATTAACAAAAAAATAAAAAATAAAACAAAAAATTTGTAATAGAATTCTCATAAAAATGTTTTAATGAAAATACTTTGAATACTCTGAAACTCTGAAAATAATTACTATAACTGAATGAAAATTATTAGCTCAACGATTGTATCATTGAATTACAGATTAAATTAGTTCAACTTTTTTTTAAAAAAATAATTGTTTATTAAATGTGAAACAAACGGCAAATTGATTGTTTTGTTAACTTTTGTGTAAATAAAATAATTGCATTCCATATTAGATTATTTTAAGCTAATAAAAGCTTATCACTGGAAATATAAAGATAGAAATTTCTAATAAGAATTTTTATAGAAGTTTTATGACATTTAAAAAATAAAATATAAATGTATTGCAAATACAGTAGAATTAATATTATTTTTTATATAAAATTATGTTTCATAACGATTACAAGTTATTTCAGATAAGAAACAGTATAACTATAATAAATGAATTGATTGAATATACATATAAATATTGATTCATAATCTAAACAAATTGAATCAATAGATGTGAAAAATTGTTTATTTTATTGATTTTATTTTCACAGACAAACAATCTTTAAATATATATAAAGTACTAAATGTTGATTAATAATATTTTTCTATTAATATATTAATCATCTAATATAATGAATAAATATTTATTATGTAATATAACTATAATCAAGTAAACTTTTTATTAATAATAAATTTCTTTGAAAATAAAACTGTAATAAAAATATTATTGTTACTATCAATATAATAATATTATGATATTTCAATTTCAATTTTTTAAAAATAAACAGCTTATTATTTTTTACAAAATAAAATATATATATATATCTATATTTATATATTTGTAGACTTTTTTTATTTATTCATAATGGTTATACAAGTATAATATTAATGATTATATTTCAATAATATTAATGGAATATATTTACTGTATTAGTAAATTATACTATTTTACTTTATTACTTTAACATATATTAAAATATATTAAATATTAAATTATATTCAATAAACATAACATAACAAACATAATTTACAGTATATTAATAATTTGTTTGAAAAAAAACATATTTAAAATTATTAATTATTGACAATTTTAAAATTCATAATTCATTAACATATTTATTTGATACAAAATTATATTTATTATTAATATTTAATAATGAATATAGTTATAAAACAATCAGAAGCAATAAAATTTAAATATGAAAAATTAATAAATATGAAAAATGTTTAACAATTTAATTATCATAATTGTTTTTTTTTAAATAATTAACTTTATTAATAAATAAATCATCTCAATGTGTGATAAAATTAAATACAATATATCGTGATATATTACTATTTATTTAACTATATTTTAGATATATTTTTTAAATTTTATTTTAAAAACTATTTTCAACAAGGTCGTGCAATTTTTAATTTCTAACCCTGAAATTAGTACTAGAAAATATAACTAATTAAAATAAAAAAACACTTTTATTAAAAATTTATTAACCAGAAAGTTGTTAACGTTAGTTAAGAAACAAAAATTGAATTGCATTACAATTAATAAGTAGAATTCAATATAAAAATTATGAGCAATTAAAAAAATATTGGCAAATCATCAATTGATTAATGATTATAATTAGATAATTACTATTATTTTTTTATTACATTAATCAAATTTATATACTATTTGCTTATGTTTTTATAGTTATTTTTTTGTAAATATTAAAATAGAAATTAATAAGATTTATAAAATTAAATAATTTATAGTCGAAAATTAAAATTAGTATTTTCATTACCCTAAGGCATCTAATGGTAATTATTAAAAGTCAACTCATTTTGGTTGAAATATAAACTAATAACATTAATGCATACATATTAATATAAGATATTCTGTACATGTATTTAATGTATATAAACTATAATAAATCTAAATATACACATAAGTAAACACACACACACACACACACACACATTGTGCATATAAACTCACTTAATAAAATTGTTAATTATATACCATATATTGTAAATGTCGGAAAATCTTTTTATTAAACTTTTAATAAAAAAAAGTTCAATATTTCAAAAATTCGATATACAGTATATATAAAAGCATCTTTATTTTCTATAAATAGATACTGAAAATTATTGTAGATATAATTTTAGATTATAGATATAAAAACTAAATATATATATAAAACTATACATTTAATAACTCAGCTCAGATAAATATAATATATAGTAAATATAAATTATTAATAAGCACTTTAAAAAACTATCAAATATAACTTGCATTAAAAAAAATATATCTATAATATATTTTATTAATAATAGAAAATTATTTTTTGCGAAATAAAAGATTAGATAAACATATTTGATATTAACATCCGATCTGATAAATTGAGACATAAAACTAATTTATAATCTAAATTTTTGGCTTACCTTTCAATGCCAATAATGGTAAGCGTATAGACACTGACAAAGACGCTGAGCACCTGTACGAACTGTGCTGTCGAGCACATGAAGTTTGGAAAGATCCAGTAGCCCAGCATAAAGTCAGTGTATGTAAACGGTATGCTAAACAGGGCCAGAGATACGTCGGCCAGCGATAGATTGATAAGAAATTTGCGTAAACTAATGGGACACCGGCGCCCGTTTGACAACACAAATATGACGGTAACGTTGCCCACAAATGCCAGTATTGCAGTGATTGAGTAGAGTATCACCAAATAGATCTGTAGGTCTCTGTTGAGTGCATCCAATGATGTAAACACAACTGTGTCGTCCTGTGTACGACCCATTAGTTTGGCTTCGGTTACATTGTTTGTCATCACCCAAATTGGATCCATTATTACAGTATATTAAAAAAATATTGTTTTTTTTTCTTCAAACAGTTTTATTTCAGTACTTGTTTAAGATTATACATTAGATTTAGTTTTTTAAAAACTTTATCTTAAATAATTCAAACATTAAAAACATTAAATTTTTTATATGATATTTATCTAATTGCAATTTCTAGATAATTGAGATAACAACTAATAATTACAAATAATTAAATTAATAATAATTATTATTAATTATTATATAGAATAACTGTAATAGAGAATAAACAAATCTTTTTATTATATTTACTTTATTTTATTATATTTAGTTAATAATACTTAAATAATATAGTTTTTTATATAAAACTTTTATTTAAAAAGATAATTAGTTTGAATAATATGAATATCTATATGCAGTCAGACACACACACACCAGTCCCTATGTCTGGTTAGGAGACAGTAAGTCAGTCATACAGTCAGTCAGTTGTCTTTGACTATCTTATATAAAGTGAAAGCCTGAGGATCTGTATGTCGGTGTCTTTCAATGACACTGTACTGTAGTTTACTCTATGACTACTATTAGAAACTACTTATAATAATAATAATAGAGAAAGAGAGCGCATGACTTCATCAATACTCTAAAAATATTTTTATTTATTTTTTTTTTTTGAAAGTCGGATCATATGATATTATAAGCGATTGGTTTATATAAATATATTCAAATGATATATAAATACAATAAAAACCACAATTTATTTTAGAAAAAAATCGTGTCTTAAATAGCATTCAATCATTTAATAGATATATAGTATATTAATACTTACTGTATATATATTTCAATTATTGGTGGCTTATATTTCTTTTGAAATATTTGTAAGATTTGTAAGTTTTTTTTATTTATTGTTTTTTATATAATAAACGACGTATTGTACAGATAATAATATAAATTAAACTTTAAATAGTTTGAAATGTTAAAGATATTTTGTAGAAAACTTTATTAATTATTATTTTAGATAAAAATCTTTTTTAAACACGTTTTTAAATATTCATTTGTTTCATATCTTATCTGCAAAATATGTGTTAATAAAAATATATTAATATATATAAAAATATAATAACATAATAAGTGAAAATTGACAAAAATTAATTTGATTTAACATTAATCATTTAATATTAGAGATGCTAATTTTAATTTTTTTAACTAAATTAATTTAAATGAAATATTTTAATTATATTGTGTTTTAAATGTAATAACAAAAATTATATATTTAATTATAAAAATTTATTAATTATATACAGTATATTCAATAGTACTCTATATACTGGTTTTTTTTGTAAAACATATTTTGATTTAAAAAAATCATAATTGTTGAGTAATCTAAACTAAAATATCTTTAAATAAATATTAATGTTTCATTTAAATATCAGTAATATTGGATTTACTATTATATTTGATATTGTTTATCACAAAAAAATAATAAAAAGTAAAAATTTCGTTACTGAAAAACAATAATTATTTTTATTTCAAATTGTTAAATACTTTACAATTTATATAGAATTTTAAAAATCAAAAGTAAAATAAAGACATTTAAATTATGGAAATATTTTTACAAATAATTTAATATAATATAACTAATATAAAATTAATTATAAAACAAAAATTCTATATTGTTAAAAGTAAATATAAAATTTATCCAATACTTGAAAAAAATGTGATATTACTTTTTACTAAAATTTTTTAAAAACATCACTTATCACATACAGTAGTAACTGTATATATATTATGATATAATAAAGTTATAACTAAATTTTGAAATGTAGTAATATTTAGTAAACTATTTATTTATTATTTTTGTATTCATTTTATTATTGAGTTTATGCCGTATCACTAATAGCTAAAATAATTGCTTTCATTATATTATGATATAATAAAATTGTTATTTGTAAGCATTTTTTAATAAAAGATAATTATTTCAAAGTTAATGTTTTAAATTTTATTTAATAAAATAAATATTATTTTAAGTTTAAAAAAATATTTTGTCAATTAGAGTTGAAACTAAAAATTTCAAATATTATTTCATAAAATTAATATAAGAAAATTATTTTTAAAAATACAATTAATTTTATTATAAATTATAATTAAAAATATTATCTAAAACAACTTTAATTCATTAATTAGATTATATTTATAAATTTATTTTATAATAATTATGAATAATTTATATATTGTTAACTAATGTAAACTATAAATACTTTTAAAATTATTTTGACTTAAAATAAATACTTTTGTTTTAATGTTAATATATTAGAGAACAAAAATTTGTTAATATAACATAAATATTTATATTTTAAATATAAAACAATAAAATCAATTTTTTAATCCAAAAATAACATTTAGAAATGTATTGATTTTAAATAATTTCTTTATAATAAACATTTCTTTTATTGTTTTTTTACATAAAACACAAATCTTATTATGTATTCAATAAAAAATAATATTTTAACAAAAACAAAAAAAAATAAAGCAAAACTTTTATATTTTTATTAAACTACATAAAGTATAAAATAAAAGTAAATTTTTATATTATTTCAACCATATTTATCATGTAAATTTTAAATGTAAAAACAAGTATAATTCATATTAAGATAAATGCATAAATGCTTTGAATTTTAAATTTACTATAGATTTAGTAATTTTTATTGTTTTTTTTGTTGATAAAATTGTTATATAATTTTCAAAAATTTTATTTTCTAATTTATCTTTGCGCAACAATGATTTATACAAAATTAATTTAAGCGTCAATTTTAATCTAAAAATAGTAGATTTTATTTATTATAATATAAAACAATAGTAACTTTTGATATGAAGTAACTCATATATTTTACATTTTAAACTAAAATACAATTGATTTTTTAATGTAAAATATTGTAGAATATTGAACTGTATTTTTAATATATAAATATGTATATTAAAATACAGTTCAATATTCTACAATATTTTACATATATATATATATATATATATATATATATATAGAATTTAAGTAAAGAAGAAATATATTAATACAGTATTAATATATTTCTATTGAAATATCAATTTCATAGATTTGATATATTAATCACTGTTAATACTAGAGATGGGCAAATAGAAAGTTTCTAATAAATTTCCCTAAGAAAGTTTCTAGAAAATTTCTCATGAATAAATTTCTATAGAAATTTAACTTTATTGTTATAGTATGGGATCCCCATATCTATAGTTATTGTAATACTATACATATAATACAGTATTATACAGTATAATACTATACAGTACTACACAAATGCTATATATAAAATAATTATAATTATTTAATAATAATTAGTTTTGTAAAATTGTATTCATCATTTTATTATATACTGTATATCATACTGTAGTTGTTTTAATTAATTTTTTACTTAATTAATAATTAAAATACTAATAATAATATTTACGGTAATGTATTGTTATATGATAGCAAATATCGAGATAATAAAATTAACATGGGGATCTCATAGATAAAAATTTCTTTTAGAAATTTTCTAGAAATTTCTCTATTATTTTATAAATTTCTCTTTTTTGCCAACACTAGTTAATACAGTATTTTATCTTTATATTCAGTATATGAGTGTACAATTCTATATATATATATATTTAAATTTTGTGGGAATTTAAATACACACAAAATTGAAATGTCTAAATAGCAAACTAATATTCAACAATATTAATTAACACACAAGAAAAATAATTACAGCTTTATTCAATTTTTTTAGGAAATTAATCTTAAATCATAAATATATTAATAAATAATAAATAAATACATCAATTAAATTTATAAATAATTTACAATCATGTTTATATGTACATGTTTACATAATTTCCTAGTAATTATTATAATTAAAATATTTATATTTAAAAAATTGTTGTCAATTAAGTTGCAAAGTAAATATTTTGAATATTAAACACCAACGCTAACATAATTTTATTTTTTAATATTAATAAAATATTAAATTATAATATATATATATATATTTAAATTTAGCATTTATTCAATTAAGTAGTCAAAATGTTTATTATGTGTGTTATAAAATAAAAGTGATTATTATGTAAATACAACAAACAAAGAAAACCTTGATTTTCTTATATATTTATTATATATATTTGAAAACTAATAAAATTATTATTATTATTGTTTATGGAAATACCTGAATGTACATGTTATGAATTTTATTTTTAAACAAACAATTATATTCAATTTAATAATACATATAATAATATAAATTTAGATGATTTACAATACATTATACAGTATAGTGTATATAAACTTTTAAAAGTTAATAATCTCTTTTGTTTATATACTATAGTTACACAAAAAAAACTATACATTGATAATAATCATTTAATTTTAATATAAATTAAATATAAATTATTTTATTAATCTATTTATGATAGATCTTAATATAATAGATACAATAAGTATTTCAAATGATACAAATATCAAACTTAATTGATATTATTATTGTTTGTTAAAATTAATATAAATATTGTATATATATTAAATTTTAATCTAATTTACTCTTTAGGTATTAATTATTTAAAAAAAAAAAAATTTTTTTTTGGATAACAACATAATATCGTAACAATGAGAGACAATCTCCATCTATACGTAAATAATGATATTATGTTATATAATAATACGTTAATAATAATAATAAGCATATATTATATTACTAACTGACTAACTGTAGATTAAAAGTACAATTATTTGATAAAAAAAATTTTCCGCAGTTTATTATTTATTATTAGAAATTTTTTTAACATGATCAAATTAATCATTACTAATTATTTTTTTCATTTGCAAATTTTTATAAGCTATATAAATAGTTAATTAATAAGTTTCATATAAACTTATTAATATATCTTATTTAATGTTAATTTATACATATAATTTATATTACATATAAATAATTGCTTTATTTGTAATAAACTTAAAAGATAAATTAAAAATTTG